CACATCTTTTAAGTGCGTATTGATTTTAGCTGTGTTCCAGAATTGCTGCCAGTGCTAAAATTGTATAATATATGTGACGTGAACTATAGATTTTTAGCGCTGGCAGTGAATTTTGGAACACAGCCTTTGTTACCTGCGCAAATAAATGCGAACACAATAGTAAGCCAATTAGCACACGTTGTAATATTACAGTACACGATCGATCATAAGGCCAAATACCTAACGCTTTCAGAAAAGGTTTATTTATCGTATAATAATGATCTTCGCTGAAATACATGTTTCTTCGACAAAAAAAGAAACACAAGTGAGAAAAGAACAAAATACTCAAAATTCTACGGCTTTTGTCCACGTACTACTTTTCGATTATGTTTAAAGTACTTGGGAGAAATACAACACACAGGAAATTATTATTGTGTATCTAAAGTAGTAAAAAAATTGTGCCGCACACTAACATTACTTGTGAATGATATTAAATGGAACGAACATTATTGTCTATTACGATTTGTGTTACTTGGAAGTAAAAAAAAACAGAGGGAAAAAGTGAACGAATTATGTAATTTATTGTTTTTATTCTATGTCATCCATGATGCACGGTGTCAGGTAAGTTCTGTATATCGATTTTTTCGTCAGTCTTCTTCGAACCACTGAGCTGTTCACACTTCCATACGAGGTATCTACGAGACGAATTTACGATAGGATCGACATATAATATCGTGATATTATTTATATAAAAACGGGAATATGTATAGTGGTTATAAATTATTTTGTATTCAACATCAAAAGAGTACCGTGTGAAAAACAAACAAAAGCAGAAGTTGTTTCTCTTTGATATAAGTATAAAAAATATACTTAGCCCAACACGGTACTCTGTGTTTTTTCGATTTTGTTGTGATTGCTGTGTGAAAGGTAAAAGAATATTTTATATTTTCAGTAAAATCTTGTATATATGTATATTTTACACAATACTTACGGCGATAAGAACAATCTTTTCTTTATAAGCATGTTTGATCACACACAGATATACGTATATATTTATAATTTAGCGAAGAATTATACATACTTAAAGAAAGTAATTTGTTATTCGAAAAGCAGCACTCGAGAATCAATCATTTTATAAATTTTTTCATTGTTATTCGAGTATCACAGTGCATGAAGTAAAAATGCGGACCAATATAAAGAAAAGAAAAAACTTTCCAGAATCGTTCCAACCTGTATCAACATTTAAAAAGGTAGTGTTATTCATTGTATATATTGTATAAAACGGTGACATAGGACATCGCAGCCTTCACAATCTAGAAAACCATTGAAACGTATAAATTAACAAGACGTTACTTTTCGTAGGTGTTTTTTTCGATTTATTACTTCATACCATGACAAAATTTTCTATTTTTCCTTCCAACATATAACCAATCGCTAATGTAAATTTTTTGTTAGTGTTTTGTATCAGAAACAAGATAAGCTTTTGCGACGATACTGGCATTAAATACCACGACGTATTGTATCTGAAATAGAATCCAAAACTCTTAGAAAGTGTGGAAACATTTGCGTGACTATAAAAATACTTACACATACATCGCAAGGTTGCCATTGCAATCTGTAAGTTTTCGTCCGAGATAATGACTGAGAAATATAAAAAGTAGGAGGCCACCTCCAGAAAAGCAACACTCCAGTAATATTTTCATATCCCGCGTTATCGTTAACACTTCAACAATCTGAAAGTAGTAAACAACATATTTAGAAAAGTAGTTATGCTAGTTATTTTTACACTTAAGGAGAGTATGAGGCAATATTCATTATATGTAAATAATTGCATATACTTTATTTACACTTATTTTTGACACTGTAAATAACCGTTTACTTACTCCGTACAAATCGGTAACCAATCCCGCTATAGCAATAATAGTTACGATGCAAAAGAGTGTGTTGACTGACGCTATCAAATCAGTAGCAAACCTTAAAAATCCTATACTGTAATGCCGATTGACAATATTATTACAAAAATATGCAAAACTGCGATGTGTGTACTTACTTTTTTGCTCTACGATGTGCAATTGTGGCATGCATTATCGCGTTGCAAATGGCATCATCTTTCTCTGGAGTAGGTATAAACCACACACAGTTTTCGATAGAGTGTCGTATTCTATATCTGCAAATAGACACACTTTCTGTAGCGTGTAAGCGGATCGACAAAATAATTACACGTCGAATAATTAAAAATTCGAATTTGATCGTCAGTTACCTGGCAAGTTTGAACATCCCGAACGAGTGACAGACAAATCCTAATATTTGTGAAAACGTAGCGCCTCCTATTATCCAACCTAATTGCACGCTCAGAAGTTCATGTATTACTTTAATGTAGAAATACTTATTATGAGGAATAAAATATTCAACCATGACAAAGAGATATCGTGGTCGAGGCTCGTCCAGTGGCCAAACAATGTCGAGAATATCCGGAAGAAATTGTATGACAACGACTGAGATACATACAAAACCGATAAATGCTAAAAGACATAAATATAAACAAACTATTATGAATGTGCACTTAAATTTTCGTAACACTTAAGGTTACGTGTAAGAAATCATTTTATCACTTCACTTTGGGTTTTCTTATTTTCTTCCTGTTTCTCGTGTTTATATACAAATAGTAATTTCTCTTAAAACATTTTAAACAATATATTTTCTCTTACACAATAGAAGTCGAATACAGATTTGACCAAACTGAGCATTTCGTGCCATAATCTCATATTCCACTTTATCACGCAGTAAATTCCAGTCGTAGCGAATTTCATAATGTATATTTATTATCTATTTAAATCAAGTCGCAAATGTTTCCGTATGTAATATATGAGTTATTAAGTATGAAACTTGACAAATGTAGAAGTTTTACAATTATGTAAGTTTTATAGTTAATGACAACAATGATTTAATGGTTCACTGTAGATGCGATCTTGCAAATAGAATATATAATTGTTTATATTGACTGAATGCAACTTACAGTTTTTGAGTTAAGTATAAAAAAGCAATATTGGACGATCATTGCGGTAAGAGCAAACGCAAAGATTGCGAATCGTAGGAAGAGGGCCATACTGTATTGTGTTGTAATAAACACTGACAACTGAAAACAATCAAGTATGATAATAGTGACTTTAAATCAAGTCGAGAAAAACAAGGTATTTCGATAATGTGCTCGTCAATATTTTTCTTTTGTATTACTCTTTGGGAAAACATTCGGAATGTCACTGAACTCGCGCACATGTAATATGAAAAACGCCCTTCGTACGACACAAAACTACTTCTGAACTTTCTTATCCCGTTAGCGCGTATCGATCGTGTAATATACCTGCACGAAAATGTGTGAACCAAGTACTAAAATAATTAGCACACGTTGTAATATCACAGTGCGCGACTGATCATAAGGCCAAATACCTAACGCTCTCAAAACAGGTTTATTTATCGTGTAATAATGATCTTCGATAAAATACATGTTTTCTCGACAAAAGCAGAGAGCAGAACTGAGAAAATCGAAACACTCGATGTTATCTGACTTCAACCACGTATTATTTTTTTGTTATTTTTTTAAATTACTCATGAGAAGTACGACACGCAGCAAAAATTGCTAATAAATGATATTTGAAGTGGCAAAAAATTATTGCACAATGATAGCACGTGTAAAATATATTGAAATTTAATGAAACAAAATATGTCGTTTATACGCGAGTAGAAGAAACAGAAGGAAGAAGATAAGCAAATTATGTAAATTACTGTCGCTACTCTATATGCACGGTGCCACGTACTTGTAGCACTGCATATCGATTTTTTCGCCAGTCTTTTCATTGCCACTGAACAGTATTCTTCGACAAAGATAGCCACGACAAAACACGCTGAGACTGTCAAATTTCGTTATATCACTGATCGAAAAAAAGAACTGTTTATTTTGAGTGGTTTTTTTTAATTTTGCATCTGACACCAAAGTTTTGTATACAAAAGCAGAAGTGGATCAAATTGATCTTAAAATATGTGTATTTTTTTATGAAATATAATTCATTTCTATAATTATATATGCTTTTGCTCATATGATTTGACTGTGATTGCTGTTTGCAAGTTGACATAGTAAGAGTTTGTTTATTGCAATAAACACTTATAGATACGTATAATTTACGCAAAAAATATATCGATATGGACAGTTTGTTGTATAAACACATATTATCACACATGCACATACGTATATTTGTAACCGAATAAAGTTTAGAACGTTCTTGGAGTAGTGTTTAAAAATACATTTGACATATTTCTTACTAGGTTTTGTATGCGGGCGCAATAACTTTCGAGATACGAATGAAAAATAGGGTCAATTATAATTACAGAATTTATATACATCAATTTTTCCAGAAATTATTTGTTTTATTTACTAAGCACTTTAAATTAAAGAAATTACTTCAAATTAAAAACTTCTTGTATAAGTAAATTGTCACAATGATTCTACAAATTAGACAAGTGGGAAAAGTTGAGTTAAAAAAAAGGACAAAAAAAAAAACAAACAAACAAATTTCAAAAACGTTCCAAACTTTAATAAGTACTTTGAAGTTTATTTTTATTTATTGTACATATTATATAAAACGGTGACATAGGACATCGCAGCTTTGACGATCTGAAAAAAAAAAAAAAACATTCATAACGTATGTAAATTTTTGCGAGTTTTGATGCGTTTTAGTTTTACACTACTTATAACCATCACAAAATTTTCGATTTTTCCCTCCAAGATATAACCAATCGCCAATGTAAATTCTTTGTTAGTATTTTGTATTAGAAACAAAATAAGCTTTTGCGATGATAATGGCATTAAATACCATGACGTATCATATCTGGAATAAAATTAAGAACGTCACTAAAGAGTGTAGTTGCGGAACCATTTGCGTGACAGTAAAACTTACTTATACTTACGCATACATCGCAAGGTCGCCACTGCAATCTGTAAGGTTTCGTCCAAGATAATGACTGACAAATATAAAAAGCAGAAGGCCAGCTCCGGAAAAACAACATTGTAGTAATATTTTCATATCTCCTGATATTGCTATCGCTTCAAAGATCTGTCATGTAGATAAATATATTAGAAAAAAAAATTACTCATTCTTAGTTTTAACAGATTACGAAACTCATTATGAAAATCATTATGAAAATACATGTATGTATATATTAAATGTATACATTTTTCTAATATAACATAAACAATTATTACTTACTCCGTATAAATCGGTAATCAATCCCATTATAGCAATTATAGTTACGATGCAAAAGAGTGTATTAACTGATGCTATTACATCAGTGGCAAAACTTTAAAAATTATTAGATATTGTAATAGCAATTGTCAATAATACACGAAACTATGCAAAAATACGATATATGTTCTAACCTTTTAGCTCTACGGTGTGCGATTGTCGCGTGCATTATTGTGTTGCATATGGCATGATCTTTTTTCGAAGAGGGTGTGTGCCACACACAATTCTCGATAGAATGTTGTATTCTATGTCTGGAAATGACATATTCTTTGTAGTTTGTAATCGACGTAAGTAAAACCGCGTCGGCTATTTAAACATTACAATTTGAACGTTACTAGCACAACACAGGCGCGCGCTACGCGCACGCTATTGTTATTTTTATTTAACGTGGTGTCAGTGAACACAACCTGTCACCGCGATGACAGATAGTATATACGTCTCATAAACCATATAATACATATATGAAACATGTCAGAAATAACGCATATGTAATATTCTATATCTATATATAATACATACACATACGCATATATATATATATATAACGTAATCACGTGACCGAAGTCAGTAACACCGCCGCGGTCGCGGGGCCAAAGTCAGTGACTTCACCGCAGTCGCGCGACCGAGGTCATTGACCCTGCCGCGGTCGCGCGGCCGAAGTCAGTGACCCCACCAAGGCCGCGCGGCCGAGGTCAGTGCCCCTCCAAGGCCGCGCGGCCGAGGTCAATGACTCCGCCAAGGCCGCGCGGCGGAGATCAGTGACGTTACTGTAGTATGTATATAATACATATAATGCAATATAAAGTATAATATTATAAATATATAATAAATTATATGTATAATATGTATTATTTATAGTATACATAATATAAGTTACAGTCACGTTACTTTCACGTGTTGTTTTTCTACTTTTTCCTTTCACGTGACTTTAGTTACGTTTTTAATTTTCTCTACATATACGACGAACTGTCTGAAAATCGCTTTTCATTATTTACTCTCTCGATCTTACCGATTCGATTCGACTCGATCAACCAAAAATCGGCAACGCGGAAAAGAGGCAACAATAGGTGCGATATATTTGACTCCAACCGCGCACTTCTCGGTACAAATGCCTTTTTTAATATAAGAATCTTACCTAGCAAGTTTGAACATTCCAAAGGAGTGAAAGATAAATCCCAATATTTGCGAAAATGTAGCGCCTCCTATTATCCAAGCTAATTGAACGATCAGGAGTTCGTGTATTATCTTAATATAGAAATATTTATTAAAAGGAACAAAATATTCAACCATGACGAGTAGATATCGTTGCCGCGGCTTGTCTAGTGGCCAAACAATGTCGAGAATGTCCGGAAGAAACTGTATGACAACTACTGAGATACATACAAAACCGATAAGCGCTAAAAAAATAGAAAAACAGGCAAACTTTGACGATGTGTACGTTTTTGGAAAATGTAAATTTTTTTTTTTCACGTAACAACTTGCTTCATTATGTTCTGTTCTTTTTTTCTGGAACGTAAATAGGTATTTTTCTTACAAAGGATATCTGAAATATGTATTTTTTCTTACAGAATATAAATCGAATAAAAACTTGACCACTCTGTGCATTGCGTTCCATTATCTCATATTCCATCTTATCACGCAGTAATTTCCAATCACGTCGAATTTGGTAATGCATATTTATTATCTGTTATTCATAATTTAAAAGGTTGTTATTTACATTATGTAATAGTTTTTATTGCAGTGGGTGCAACTTTGCAAATAGAATCGTTCGCAGTGCGTAAAATTTTTATAATTGCAACTTACAGTTTTTGAATTAATCATAAAAAAGCAATATTGCACGATCATTGTTGAAAGAGGAAATGCGAGTGATGCGACTCGCAGGAAGAGAGCCATACTGTATTCTCTCGTAATAAATACTGACAACTAAAAATAATATAATCATAGTTTAGGGCCACTATTAATCAAACCGAAGCAAAAATGATATTGCGATGGTACATTATGTCTTCTTTCGAAACTCTTTGTATTTTCTTTTGTATACTAATGTTTCAGAACATCTTCGTCACTATCACAGGACACACGAGCTCAACGAGTAAAACACACAATAACAACACAAAGCGTTCTCTGTACGTTAGTATCTTGTCAGTACGTATCGATCTTGTTACCTGCACGAAAACGTGTGAAAAAAGTACCAGAAAAATTAAAACACGTTGCAGTATCATAATGCGCGATCGATCATAAGGCCAAATTCCCAACGCTTTCAGAACAGGTTTATTTATCGTGTAGTAATGATCCTCGGTGTAATACATGTTTTTTCAACGAAAGCAGAAACACAACTGAGAGAATCGAAACACTTGAAAATTTTCTTGATTTTGTAAAATTTGATATTTTCCGTTTATATTTCAACTTACTCGTGAGAAATACGTCATACAGTAGAAAATGA